CTGACTACCTTTTTCCCAAAACAGCAGCCCCTGTCAGCAGGAAGCAGTTAAGATCAGTCTTTGCCCTTATCCTTATCCTTATTTTAATGGCAGTCATTTTTAGGTGGAGGAATGATAAATGCAGGAGGCAGATAAGGGGGAGGATGCTTGGAAAATCTCCAACCCTCCTGCACATTGGGAAAATGGGGTAAAACCATGGGAATTTTATGCCTTGTGCAGGGGAAGAGCCTGGCCTCTTCATCTCATGTGTGGTGGTCTGGAATTCAGTCTGTGGAGTGGGAGCCCATTGGCAGGAACCCTTCTCGCTTTGCTGAGAGGTTTTCTTTTTTTCTCAATAAATTTTGCTCCACTCACCCTTCAATATTCCCTCATTCCTAATCCTTCCTGGTCATGTGACAAGAACCCATTTTTAGCTTAACTAAGAAACATTCTGCAAAAGTATCTGCAAACAAGAATAATTTGACTTTTTTTCTTTCCAATTCATATGCCTTTTTATTCTCTTATCTGATTACTCTAGCTAGGACTTCCAATAGTATGTTTAATCATGATTAAAGTGAGAATCCTTCGGGAGGGTGAGGCAGGAGAATGGTGTGAACCCAGGAGGCGGAGCTTGCAGTGAGCTGAGATCATGCCACTGCACTCCGGCCTGGGAGACAGAGTGAGACTCTGTCTCAAAAAAAACAAAAAACAAAAAACAAAAAAACAAAAACGAGAATCCTGTCATAGTCCAGATTCCAGAAAAAAGGCTTTAAGTTTTTCTTTATTCAGTATAATACTACCAGTGAGTCTGTCATATATGGCTTTTATTGTGTAGAGGCATGTTCCTTCCTCAGTTTTTTGAGGGTTTTTATCATGAATAAATGCTGTTGAATTTTATCAAATGCTATTATAACATCAATTGAAATGACATATGAGTTTTCTCCTTCATTCTGTTGATAAAATGTATCACATTCACTGATTTGCATATGTTGAGCCATCCTTACATCCCTGAGATAAATCACACTTGGTCAAGATGAATTATCTTTGTAATGTTTTTGTTGAATTTGGTTTGCTAGCATTTTGTTGAGAATTTTTGCATCAATGTTCATCAGACATTTTGACTTGCAGATTCCTGTTTTTGATATGTCTGGTTTTTGTATTAGGGTAGAACTGGCCTCAGAGAATGAGTGAAATATTCCCTCCTTCTGTATTTTTTGGAATAATTTGAGTAGAATTGGTATTAGTTCTTTAGATGTCTGGTAAGATTCAGCAGTGAAGCCATTGGGTCATAGGCTTTTCTTTCCTGGCAGACTCTTTAGTACTGCTTCAATCTTATTATTTGTTATTGGCCTATCCATGTTTTGTATTTCTTCATGATTCAATACTGGTAGGCTTTACATGCCTAGAAACTCACCTGTTTCTTCTAGTATTTCCAATTTATTGGCGTATAGGTGTTTGCTGTACTCTCTAATGATCCTCTGAATTTCTTCGGTGTCTGCTGTAATATTTTTTTACTTCAGATTCTATTTATTTTCTCTTTTATTTTTACTCTGGTTATAAGTCTGTTGATTCTGTGTATCTTTTTAAATACTTGGCATCATTAATTTTCAGAGAAATGTAAGTCAAAACTACAATGAGATATCATCTTAGACTAATCAGCATGGCTATTTGCAGAAAGTCAAAGACAACAGATCCTGGCATGGCTGTGGAGAAAACAGAAGGCTTAGGCCCTGTCGATGAGCATGTAAATTAGTTCAACCACTGTGGAAAGGAGTTTAAAGATTTTTCAAAGAATTTTTAGCAGAGCCACCATTTGACCCAGCAATCTCATAACTGGGTATATATCCAAATGAAAATAAATCATTCTACCAAAAAGACACATGCACTTGTTTGTTCATTACAGTACTATTCACAAGAGCAAAGACATGGAATCAACCTTGGTGCCCATCAGTGGTGGATGCATAAAATAAATGGTACATATATACCATGAAATATACCATGGAATACTACACAGCCATGTAAAAATTATCATATCATGTCCTTTGCAGCAACATGGATGCAGCTGAAGGACATTCTAAGAAAATTAATGCAGGAACAGAAAACCAAAACTGCACATTCTCATTTATAAATGAGAAATATGCCAGGCACAGTGGCTCACACCTGTAATCCCCGCACTTTGGAAGACTGAGGCAAGCGGATCACCTTAGGTCAGGAGGTCAAGACCAGCCTGGCCAACATGGTGAAACCCTTTCTCTACTAAAAATACATTATTAGCCTGGTGTGGTGGCAGGTGCTTGTAATCCCAGCTACTCAGGAGGCTGAGGCAGTCTCCTGAGTAGCTCCGCCTCCTGGGAGGCGGAGGCTGTAGTGAGCTGAGATTGCACCATTGAACTCCAGCCTGGGTGACAGAGCAAGACTGCATCTCAAAAATAAATAAGTTAATAAAAATAAGAAACAAAATAAATAAAAGTGAGCTAAACACTGGGTACTCATGGGCATAAAAATGGCAAATAGAGACAGTGGGGATTAGTAGAGCTGGGAGGAATAGAGTGGGGCAAATGTCGAAAAACTACTGGCTATTATGCTCAGTATCTGGTTGACAGGATCAGTTGTGCTCCAAACCTCGGCATTATGCAATATACTCAGCTAAATCTGCATACGTACCCCCTAACTCTTAAATTTGCTTTTTTGAAGCTATTTTCTAGATCCTGTAGGTGTTATTTTTTATTATTATTTATTCTTTAGATTCTTCTGCCCATGTATTTTCAAATAGCCTCTTTTCAGGCTTATTTTTTTTTCTTCGCTTGAAAGTATCATTATGCTGCTGAGAGACTCTGATGCATTATTCAGTACATGAATTGTGTTTTAGCTCCAGAATTTCTGCTCTATTTCTTAAAAAAAATTTAAAAATCTGTTTGTTAAATTTATTTGATAGGATTATTAAATTTTTTCCCTGTTTAACCTCAAATTTCATTTAGCGTTCTCAAAAACAGCTATTTTTTATTATCCCTCTGAAAGGTCACATATCTCTGTCACTCCAGGATTGGGAACTGGTGTCTTATTTAGTTCGTTTTGTGAGGCCATAATTTCCTGAATGCTCTTCATGCTTTTGGATGTCTTTCAATATCTGGGCATTAAAAAAAATTAAGCATTTATTCTAATCCTTGCAGTTTGTACTTATTTGCATTTATCTTCCTTGAGAAAACTTTCCAAGTATTCAAAAGGAATTGAGTGTTGTGATCTAAGTCTTTGGTCACTACAGCCATATCTGCATGAAGTGTACCCCAAGCCCAGTAATGCTGTGACTCTTGTAGACTCACAGAAACAGCACTTTGGTGCTCCTAAGTAAGACTGAGGAGAATTCCCTGGATTACCAGGCACAGTCTCTTTTTCTTTTCCCTTATTTTCCCCCAAACAAATGGAGTCTGTCTCTCCATGCTGAACTGCCTGCTGTTGGGGGAAAGGTGATGCAGGCATTCCCGTTGTCACCACCACTGGGACAGTGCTGGATCACAACTGAAGCCAACATGGTATTGAGTCTCTCACAAGGACCATAGCAGCTAATACTTGGGTGCCACCAATGTGCAGGTTCAAGAGCTCTTCGATCAGCAGGTGATGCATCCTGCCAAAGCTGTATCTCTCTATTCAGGGCAGGCAGGTTCTCTTTTGGTCCAGTGTGTGTTTAGAAATGCTGTCTGGGCACTGTGTCCTGAATTGGGAACTTTAGGAATATACTTGGTGCTTTACTTTACTGTGGCTGAGCTGGTACCCAAATTTTAAGACAAATACTTTTTTTTTTTTTAACTTTTCTCTTTCTTTTCCTCCAGCAGGAGTTTCTCCCAGTGGAGAACTCCAGTGGTATCCAGGTAGTAGTTGTCAACTCTCAGTGGTAGCCAGGGAGTAGTTGTAGTAGTTGCTAACTCCCAGTGGTAGCCAGGTAGTAGTAGTAGTTTAGAAACTCCCAGGTCTGCTAGTGGCAACTACTACCTGGCTACCACTGATGTTTATTCAGGGCCCAAGGACTCTCGAATCAGCAGGTGGTGAATCCTGCGAGGCCTGGTCTCTGTGTTCATGGCAATGGGTTCCCTTCTGGCCTAAGCTATGTCTGGAAATTCTATTCAGAAGTTAAGGCCTGGAATTAGGGACTTTAGGAGTCTGTTCGGTGTTTTATTTTCCTGTGTTTAAGTTGGAACCCAAGTTGCAAGACAAAGTCCTTTTTATTCTTCTCTCTTCTTTCTTCAAAACGAAAGAGTTTGGCCCTGTGGCCACCACAGCTGAGAATGTGCTGGGTCAAACCCAAAGCCCGCACAGTACTGGGTCTCACACGAGACCCACAGCAACTACTACCTGGCTGGTAACTGATGTTTATTCAGGGCCCAATAGCTCTTCTACCAGCAAGTGATGAATCTTGCCAGAACTGAATCTTTCCCTTCATGGCATCAGGATCCTTTCTGACCCAGTATGAGTCTAGAAACACTATTCAGGAGCTAGGGTCTAGAATAGAGGCTTTAAGGCTCTTCTTGGTGCTTCATTTTACTGTGGATGAGCTTTTATCCACACTCTAAGACAAAGTCCTTTTTACAATTCCCTCTCCTTTCTTCTAGTAGAGGGAGAGTGTCTCTCTGGAGCTGTGAGTTTCACTGTCCAGAACTGGGGGAGGGGTGACAGCACTCCCTTGGCCATCTCAGCTGTTCTCTTACTAGGTCATGTGCACCCCAAGTGCACTGGCTGTAAGCCAAGGACAGCACCAGGACTTGTCCAGGAATTGCAGTCCTTGTGGCCTAGACTGCCTTTTAAGTTTATTTAGAATCACAGAGCACTTTAGCTCATAGTGGTGAAGCTAGCTGGAACTCAAGTTGTGCCCACTGGGAAGGACGATTCCCCTCTGTGTAAGCCTGGTGTAAATGTTCCCTCCTTGGGCACTGGATGAATTCTGCTCTGTGTTGCTTTTTACTGTGACAGTGCAACACTGAGTTCCAATACAAAGTCCCACAGTCATTTTCCTTTTCATTCCCCAAGTATTCAGATTCTCTCTTCATGCCATGTGGTGGCTGCCAGAGAGAGAAGAGGTGTCAGCAATTCAAGACTGTGTTTCCTTACTCTCTTCAGTGCCTCCTTCCTTGATATGATGTTAAAACCAGGTACTATGATTGCTCACCTGATATTTGGTTCTTATGAAAGTGCTTTCTTATGTGTATAGTCGTTAAATTTGGTGTTCTGGGGCAGGAGGGGTAATTCCTAAAGGGTTCTATTTGGGTATCTTGCTCCACCCCCTCTCTATCTGAAATTGTTATAGCTATTATATTTCTATTGCTTTTTTTAATACAATTTTTAAATGAACTTGTCAGTATCTACCAAAATAAAACCCTAGTGTATTTTGATTGGATTATACTGAATCTATATAATAAATATTCAGAGAATTGATGTTTTAAATATAATATATCTTCTAATTCCAACATATGACATAACTTCATTTATTTAGGAACATTTTGATTTTCTTCATTAGTATTTGTTAGTTTTGAGCACTATCTTACATGTATTTTCTTAGTTTAAAATCTACATATTTCAAGTTTTTTTGTGTACTATTTTAAGTAGTACTGTTTATAAATTGACAAAAAGTCCAATTAGTCATTGCCAGTATATATAAACGCTATTTATTTTATTATACTGACCTTTTATTCTCCTACATTTATAAACTGACTTATTTGTTTTAAGATTTTTTTTTTTTATTTCTTTGGATTTACTATGTGTACAATTGCTTAGTATATGTATATTGAAAATTTACACATTATAAACTGACTTATTTGTTTTAAGACATTTTTTGATTCCTTCGGATGTACTATGTGTACAATTGCTTAGTCTATGTATATTGAAAATTTTATATCTTCCTTCCAAAGCAGAATGTCTTTTATTTCTGCTCTATTTCAAATTGGACTAGCCATGAGTTCTAGTATAATTCTGAATAGGAGCTATAATCAGAAAAATCCCTTCCTTATTTCTGATCTTAGGGGGAAAACGTTCAGTGTTTACCATTATACATGGTATTTTCTCTAAGTTTTGTGTAGATAACTTTTTAAAAGGTTTAGGAATCATCTTTCAAGTATTAGCATGTTAAGTTTTTCATCAGGAATGGATGTTAAATTTTGTTGAATACTGTTTCTGCATCTGTTCAGATGCACATGCAATTTTTATTCTTAGAGTCTTTACATATGGTAAACTATACTGATTTTTGAATGTTAAATCATTTCTATTGCATTTATCCTTGCTCACCCAGGATAAATACCATTTGGTAATGACACAGCAATATTTTCATATGTTCCTTTTTTGGGCTTGGTAATATTTTCCTTAAAAATTGTTTCTATATTAATTAGAAATATTGGTCTAATATTGTTTTCTTATAATATGTTCTCTAGTTTTATTGTGTGGATTGTATTGGTCTCATAAAAAGTTTCAGAAAGCACCCTTCCTCATCTATTTTGTGAAAGAGATTATGTAAATGAATATTATTCCTTCCGTACATACTTGCCACAATTTTTCTGTGAATCTACTTAGGCCTGAACATGTTTTATTGTTATTGCAACATTTTAATTACAAATTTACTTTCTTTTCTGGATAAATTATTGATGTGTTTATTTATAAATTTTGATAAATAGCATCTTTCAAACAATGTGTCAGTCATAAATTGTCATATTTATGGACAGAGATTTACTTGAGAGATGCCATTATTTTATTTTTTATTTATATTGGGCCAGCAGTGATATTTTTCTTTCATTACCATGGTACTTTCTGTTCTTTTCTCTCTCTCTATATCTTTTCTTGGTCATTTGGGAAAAAGCTTGTCAATTTTATTGATTCTTTTACTGTAAACCAGATTTTTCTTTAGATGGTTTTCTCTATTGTTTTTCTTTTGTTCAATTTCATTTATTTTTATTATCTTGATACTTTTTTCCTTATTAATTTTGTTTTATTTTTCCATATTTTTTATTGTCAAGATAGAAGGTTAGATTCTTGATTTAAGACTTTTTTTTTTCTAATATAATAATGTAATGCTGCTATGGGTTGAGTGTGTCTCCCCCAAAATTCATTTATTGAAACTGTAAACCCCAATGCAATGGTATTTGGAGATGGAGCCCCTGGGAAATAATTAGGTCATGAAGGTTGGGCCCTCATGATAAGATTAATATGCTTTTATAAATAAACACTAGAGCTGGAGTTTTCTCTCTCTACTGTTTGCTATATAAAGATACAACAAGAAGATGGCTATTTGACAAGCAGAAAGATTATTCTCACCCAAACTCAACCATGCTGCTACCCTGATCTCTGACTTCCCAGCCTCTAGTATCATGACAAATAAATTTTGGTTGTTTAAGTAACCCAAGCTATGGTATTTTTACTGTAGCATCCACTACTGACTTACACAAATGCTAGAGTTTCTTCTTAGCACCGCTTTGGTAACATATCACAAATTTTTATACGATGTGCTTTCATTGTGCTCAGCTCAAAATATTTTCTAACTTCTAAATTAAGTTAGAAATTTTGACCAATGCATTATTTTAGCAATGAATTATTTAAAAATCTGTTGTGGCTTTTTTCAAATATTTGTGATTTTCTAGATTTCATTATTTATTGATTTCTGGTTTAATTCAGTTATGCTCAGACAATAGACTTTATTTGATTTCAATATTTTAAGCTGGATTTATAGGATTTTTTCAGATATGTATATATATTATGACAAACTGCTTTTGATATTCACAAGGCAGCATAGATCAGCAGCTGATAAAATGAACTTGGAACTCGAGAGAGGTTATAGAGACATGTTCAACTTTGGGACAAAAAGAAAGAGTTAATAACAGGTTTAAAATACATTCAGAGGACAATCTAATGTGGAATCAAGAAAAGTTTAAGAAATCCTACCTTTGACCATATTGGAATAAGATAACTGGATTTATCTATCTACTTGAAACAACTAGAGAATAATACAAATATAAATATTTTTTAAAAGCTGGGAATTATTAAACAAAACATAATGACCCTGAGAGATGGAACATATATGAGCTGAAACCTATAATTGCAACAGTTTCATTCCCTGAGAGTTTTTTCAAACCACAATGCAATGAAAGGGAGCTTGGGCAAATGAAGCAGATGAACTGAAAAAGGGTTAGACATCTAAGAAAGAGAAAGTAGCTAGAAAGAGTCTATAGATCAGAGTAGAAGAAAGGAGGGCTGCAGAGACAGAACTCAGGAGGTAAACAAAGGATGTCCCTAGATTATTCATAAAAATATTGATAAGCACATGCACGTGATGAGGAAAGTATCTATGGCCAAGAAGAAAATCACGCAAAATGATAAGAGGAAATGGTACCTGATTACTCACACAGAATTTCTAAAAATATATTTATTATTATTTTAGCATTTTTATTCCTGTTTGCTTATTTCTACCAAACATTCTGGAACACCTATAATTCACAGGCTATTGGGAAGAATATTTAAAAGAGAACAGTTAGCTCAAGACTAAACAATATTGTCCTGTCTGAAAAATATGTTCAGCAAAACCTTAGTGGATAAAAGTGTTCTAGAACAAAAGTGTTCAAAGATAAGTCCAGAAATACAAAATCATCCCACACTCAACAAGGTAAAATATACAATGTTGGGCATCCAATAAAAACGTGCTAGGTTTGCAGACAAGGAAGAATGTATGACCAATTGTTGCAAGAAAAATCAATCAGGTGACACAGATTCACCACTGACACAGTCACTAGACTTAGCCAACAAGGATATTTAGAAAGAGTTATTATAACTTGAGAATACATATATTCAAACATCTAAGGATGAAAATCTAAGGATGAAAATTACAATGACTGATGAAAAAAACTAGATGAGTTAATAACAGATTAGACATTACAAAATAAAACATTAGTAAATGCAAAATTGTAGAAATATCAGCTATCTAAAATAAAATAAAGTTAAAAATATACATCTTTATATATAAATATATATTTCAGTATATTATATAACTCCTATAATATGTAATAAAAACTATATGTATACAAAACATTAGTGAACCATGGAACAACTTTATGCATCCTTGTAATTGAAGTCTCCAAATTGGGGTGAAAGAGTGGGGAGAAATACTTAAAGAAATGATAACTGAATTTTTCTGGATCCAAGAAACTCAAAGAATCCAAAGCACAAAACTCATGAAGAAACTGCACGAAGAAATACTGTAATCTAATCAGCCCGTTGAGTGTAGCTGGCTTTAGAGACTCACTTCTAACAGATAATGAAAATAGAAACAAATAGTAAGTTTACAGTAGAGAAACCTAGTAGTTATTACCTTACTCCATGATTAAGGTAAACATTATCATTGATGAATCATTTTCCCAGCACTCTCTGATATGATATGATGAGAAAGGCACATAATCTCTGAAGTATACCTCCCTAAAATTCATAACCTTATTCTATTCATAAAAAAACAGACATACTCATATTCAGCAAAGTAACTTAGCAGTACTCTTCAAAATGTCAGTCATGAAAGAAAAAGAAAGACTTTGAAACTGTGAGAGGTTGAGGAGACAGGTGATATGACCACTATAGGAAAATGATGTCCTACATTTTATATTGGAAGGAAAAAAGGACATTAGTGGAAACACTAGGGAATTATGAATAAAGTCTGTAGTTTAGCAAATAGTATTGCACCAATGTTAATATCTTAGGTTTGATAAATATGCCATAATTATGTAACTGTTAAAATTAGGAAAAATTGGGTGAAGGGTACGTGAATTGCTCCTGTACTATCTTTGCAACTCTTCTTCAAAGAAATTCAAATTCGTTTCAAAATATAAAGTTAAATAGATACCATTTGCAAAGAAATCATTCAAGTGTATTTAAAACCAGAATAACTATGACTTGAGAATGCTCTGTGATCCAAAAGATATTACAGATAATGTTTGCTTGAAAAAACAATCTTAAATTGTGATTTGAAAATATTTCAGTTTGTGGTTGCTTATATTCATTCTAAAAATAAAATAGCAGTTCAAATAGATTATCTTGATATTTTCAAGTTAGAAATAGGTCTTCAAACGATATGGCACCATTACCCCAAATATTGCAGAAGTGTACACTTTGTGTGCAAGGCTTGCAG